CCCATCTCCCCTTCTATAAGGAAAGTACATGAGAGTGTTTTTTAGAGCACAGCTGGGATGGAGAAGTAAAACCGCACACCGACACAATAAAACCATTGTATTGAGCGAATGTACTGGCCATTAAAACTACAGCAGCTGGCCATGTCTTCTGCCTTGAATAACCCCTGGGCAGTCATCTTAATCCTCCTTTAGTACTGTACTAGATACAAAGCACATTCTCCTCTCTCAGGTATACATATCTCTTACCATTATGGACTTCAACTTCTAGAATTCTCAAAAGCAGCCATATTGGCTGGGAATCCTGGAAGCTGAAGTGCACAACCATGGGAAAGCTGGTCCAGGCCTACATATACTTATGGACAAGTACAAATGAAGTTGCAGCTTACGATTTGTTTAAGTTACAAAACAGGCCATGGATTTAATTATAGAAGCACTAGATGACTCAGGTATCTCCAACAACCCACTCTTTTTGGCTACTGAAGTGGGAGAAAAATGAAGGAAAAGGGTGGCATCTTTTTCCTTGCAGATTAAAAAAACTGCAAGCTGTCCAAAAACACAGCAGGGTGTCTATAATGCAGGTATATTATAGAGCCCTGTCCGTGAAATCAACCTACTGTTCCCCCAGCCCTTTGAACACAGGCCCTTTGGGACTCCTGTTAGAACAAACCACATGCAATGGCAGAACACGATGGTAGAAAATAGTATTTCCTGCTGGGACAGATGCATAGCAGCTGGACAGGGTGCAGTTTGCAGTGCATGCTGGGGAAGTGGCTTTCTTACCTGTTCATCCCAGGATGACCTGGCAAAATGCCCAAGCTGCATTCACTAGTAACTACTGAACAGTTTCCACAGGTAGCCCAGTAGGGCACAGCCGGATACCTCCCACTGACATCACCCTAGAAGAGGCTTCAGTTTTCAAACCTTCTCCCTCCTCAATGGCCTCACATCACAGTGCAGAAGGCAATGGGCAGCTCTTAAGGCTGGTGGTCACTCCAGATATCAATAGAGAAACAAAGGTGTTGGTCTCTTTCCCAACTCTGACATACTTATTTTGCTAGCAGCTCACAAAGCCAGCCAATTAACAACTCCCCCTAGTGGTTATAATGCAGTAGAAATCTAGTCATTCATAAAAACTGGGAAAGAGAAATATCTAATTGGGAAATTGCACCTGACTCTGGACTGAATAAACAGAGAAAAACGTTGGGAAATGTGGTATCTCTCAACTGAACCATGGAGCCAGAAATTTTAAAAGGGGGAAAAAAGGAGGAAGTTAATGAATATAATACAGAATGTGGATAATGAATAATCCAGGGAAGAACAACAAGGGCTTTTGGGGAAGGGAAGGGAAGGGAAGGGAAGGGACTAACTCCAGGACATAACATTTTAATTAATGATCAGAGTACAAATTTTCACAATTGTCTAAAAATTACTATTGAACTGTTCACAGAAACTAATGATGTCACAAGTTTCTTTCTTTCTAGTGAACTGCATGATAGATGTTACACAACAGTAAAATGCTCCCTTTAATTATACATAAATGATAGTTGCTAATGAGATCTATTCTAATTAGATCTATGGTAACTCTAGGGCTTCTTATTGACCTTTCCACAAACAGTAGTTTAAGATCCAGATTTTCTGAAACTGAAAGCCACAGTTTCCTGATTTGGACAAAAGAGGAAACTGTGGTTCAATAATGTGATGAGAGATTACTTTGATCTTTAAATGAAGTTAGAGCAACAAAGATGTCATTTGATGTCTATTAGACGCACTGAGGATGTTTAATAAGGGTGGGTTGCAATCACCATGCTGCTAGAGATGCAATTCAAGAGCTGAAACTTGAACGTCTGGTCTTCTATCATGGCCATATTCAGACTTGGGCTGAAATCCACAAGCCTGTTAACATGATTCTGGACTGCACAGTGCATTAAAGACATACTTGTTCTTCTTGGCTATATGCCTAGTAATTTGAATTTAACAAAATATCAAGAACTGTGGGTTTTTTAGGCCTGGGGGATTGCTAAAAAAAGATTGTTCTTCAACACTTCACTTGATATGCAGGAATAGATTGTCAATATGTATCAACATTTCCATTGTTGTGGCTGTTGTTAAAGAGTCAAGGAAGCTGACTTTCAAACAAAACAGTCAATTTGGGAAGTTCTTGTTATGTTCTAACTTTCCAGACTTGTTTTTCCTTTCCTTTCTTCTCATTATTACTATACCTTATTAATACTGCTGTAGGTACACTTTTTATCAATTTGATATAAGAAACTGTGATTAATAAGTGACTTCCTGTCTTAAGCACAGCATGAAGAAATTTGAATGCACCAACAGAAAATTCATGCGTATCTTAGCACGCATATTTTCCAAATGTGCAAACCTATCTTTTTCTGGAGACAATCTTTGGTCCTAATACTTTAGTTCAATTCTATGCATGTTTACTAGGAAGGTAATCTAAATAATGTCCTCATTAATTCACCCCATTCAAGTCAATAAACCTTATTTGTAAATATTTGCAGGCCTGGGCATCCATGTGGGGGAAAGGGAGATAAATTGCACGTACAACATGACATCATCATGGAAATGATGTGACTTACACACTTGCATCAGATGGCCAGTCACAAACCACATAAACATGTCAATTGTATGAGATCATGATTCAAGTATCATAATGTTGATATCATTTGGGCTTATTATAAATGCCTCCTCAGATTGCAACATTCAATAGGACTGTGGCTTAATCAACGTACAGAAGACTGTCACCTTCTATACATTGGAGCTATTATAATTTCATCACCCTCACATTTAACAGGAAGAGAACATGGCTTTAAATATATATATCTGTAAGCACCATGACTGCCTTCTCCTCTTTGACCACGGGTATGTCAGCCTGTACAGTTTCTGAATCCAATGACCTGACTGCAAACCTCATAATGCTTCATTGCTCCAATTTTGGAGATACCACATCAATAAAAGTACCTACAGATACCTGCCAACCATTTGCTCAGGATTCCTAATGGAAAATGTAGTGGATGTTTTTTTTTTAAAAAAAAAATCAGATGCCCTAATACTATTTCATATAATAAACTTAGAATAGTAATATAGGGCTAGGGCTATAGCTTCTTTACCCTTGGGTGGAATGCCTGCTATCAAACAGATTCTTGGATATGGGCTCAGACATTTGCAAACTCATCTCTTCAAAAAGTGTTTGCTGCCTGGACATTCTGGAGAAGTGTAATCCCAACACGTTGCCCCATGTTGGAGAAGGCTTCAATGGACAATCAGGACAAATCTCAACAGATTTCAGGAAATCTGAAAGGAATTGCAGGAAATCTTCCTTGCTTTCACACCAGCCAATAAATAAGAAGCTGAAAGGCAGGGCTTTCCAACGACAGGCAGCCTAGTAGGTTCATTCAGAAATAACGCCTTCCGATAACCCCCGTCGAACACCGTTCCAAAGAAATAAACCTCGGATCACGTATGCCTTTTCCCCGTTCTTACGAATGCTCCCCACGCGCTTTCCTTAAAAAACGTGCTTCGTTTACTGAGCGTGGCCCACGCTGCTAGTTCACAGGGCTGAAAAGCAACGAGCTGGTCTGTCTCTCCCAGGCAGCGAACGCCAGCACGCAGAAGGTAAACGGGGCGGGCGGGGGATAGGAAGGGCGGTGGAATTGCAGCTAACACTTGTAGGCAACGTCTCCTTAGGATAATCCACCCAACACGATCCCCACCCTTTTCTCCTCCCCGTGTAGCGCCCTGGAAAATCGGCTAGGTGATTGGATTACCTTCCTCTGAATGGAGGCGGGGGTGGGTGGGAACGGGCCGCGAAGTTACATTCATGATGCAATCCCCCGAACCACGTGTTATTTTGGCCCCGCTGCCTTTGCTAGGTCTCCTTCAGCCTCCTCGGCGTTAGGAGAGGGGCCGGCTGCGCGGTCTACTCAGGAGGAAGGGCCTGCACCTCTGGCATCCATTTGCTCGCGCTTCCCATCCTCACCCAAGTTGGAGGAGGAGGGATGAAGGCAGCGTTCTTGCAACATTCAAAGCCATCTCATGTCACGGTTCTTTGTACACTCAGAAAGTAAGGGCAGGGAATTCAGCGGGATTGATCCCCAAGGAAGGGGGCATTAAACGGCGAGCCTTTCTCGGAGCCGTATTTTAGGAAACGCCGGAAACTCCACGCGTCTTCTCCCGAGTAAAACGCGTGTGCCGTGTAGGACAGTTAGGCTTAGGTAAGAACAGGAATTCCAGGGACAGGGGAAGGAGGGGGTGCGCGTACTTTCAGTCCGCCAGTCTGAGCAGAAAAAGCTCTGCCTCCGTTCAGTTAAAAAAAGACCATTTCCTAAGGTCAAGATTCGACCCGGTCATTTAGAGAGGAGCAAAGCCCATCTGGCTTCAGAGCAAGCAGGCAAATAGGACGGGGGGAGGGGGGGTGTCGAGTCCCTTGCGCTCCTTCCCTTTGTCCAAAATGTCACCGACAGGAAAACACTTCTCCCCTCCCTTTCTGTCTTCCTCCCCCACTCCCGACCCGGCTTGTACGATGGGAGGCATTGACCGCGAACGGGACTCCGCCGATCTCCTCCGATCCTGGGGTGCATTCGGGCTTCTGCCCCAGCCGCGTCCCCCAGAAGGAGCGGGGCGGGGAGCGGCGGCCTCCTCCGGCCAGGGGTCTGAATGCCGACTGCCGCAAGTTCCAAAGCGCCTGGCAGAGAGCTTGGGAGGGGAAATGAATGTAGCCCAGGCGAGCCAATGAGCTGGGACCGGATGCGATATATCCTCTAGGACAACAACTGCTCTGTTCCTCCTCAGATCCACATGACGCCATTTACTTTTGCTTTTGCGGAGAGATCACCCTGCCTCCTCCGGAAAGAAGAAGGGGGGGAAAAAAAAACCGAGAGAAGGAGGGGAGCGAGGGAGCAGAAAAACGCTGAAGCTCTTAGAGACCGGATCTCAAACCTGCTTTTCTGCAAAGATACAAGCAGCAGCA